GCGAAGACAAACTGAATACTGTAGCTGGGTGTGTCCGAGAGCAGTGTACCATAGCGTGTAAAAATGTATACGGACCTAGTGCTGTGGGGAAATGTGCTCGACCTGTGGATTGTACTTGTTCTCACCCTTGTTAATTTCAAGCCATGTTGAAATTGTTGAAATAACCTGCAACGGTAAAATAAAACTGGTTCTATTTTTGTTTCATCTTGAATTATTTTGTCAATTTTCTCTCTCTCTCTCTCTCTCTCTCTCTCTCTCTCTCTCTCTCTCTATGTCTGATATTAGCTATACAAAATGAGACACTTTTCCTATTATTTCAAATTTTTTTTACTTAATTTAAAAATTTTAACTTAAAATATAATACCTTTAATTAGTTAAATTACTCTTTAAAAAAGTGAGTTTTCTCATTATTCATTTTACATTTTTTCTTAATTTGTGGCTTGTTACTGTATTAAAATTTTGTTGGTGGGTTTTTGAGCTATCAACAAATAAAGTGAGATCGCACTTGGTTTTTTGAGTTTAATGGCATTAATTACATTGAAAAATGTGCTCTTCCTCATCTTTTTGGGTTTCGATTCGATCTCATTTGATGTTAACATGTTAAAAAAAAAAAAAAAAAACGAACAAGGTGAGATTATAAAATTTGGTCAACTCACAAATTGGGTTCGAAAAGGGAAGCACGTTATTGGTGACCCAGAAGCATTTGGAGCGGCAGCCTGCATTCTGTAGCATGTTGAAACTCCTGAAAGAAGTATTTTAAGAAGGTTAATAACTTGAAATTTTAAATTAAAAATTTTGAATTCAAAACTTGAAGGGTGTAAAGACAATTATCTCCTTACATATCCTATATTGAAAAAATATATATATTTTGTAATTCTAAAAATCATAGTTATTGGATTAAGAGTGGACTGCTGATATTAGGGGGAGGGCTTCATTAATGGCTGATTTTTTCTTTTTGTAAAATATAACCTACAAAACACTGAATTTTGTTAAAAATTCAATTGATTTTATGATCCAATTAGTAAAAAATAACAAATTTAGTAATAATGTAATTATCATATCATGTTATAATATAAATTTATAATTTAATGTAATATTAAATAAAATATAATATAATATTAAATAAATATATAACATTATGAATAAATTTGTAAATAAAAAATAATTATAAAATAATATATTATATTTTAAATTTATAATACCATATATTATTATAATTATAAATTTTGATTAAAAATAGGGGTGGTGGTGGTGGAGTGAGCCGAAATCAAAAGCCCATTTACTAAAATTCGATTTCAAAGGCCCACCCCATAGTCCAAGGCTCCAAGCTCTGTCGCCGCGCTCAACAGCATCAGCGTAAAACCAACGTTGTAAACCAAAAGAAAAAATTGCTTCAAAATGAAGCTACGCTGTATAAACCATCTACTTTTCCCTCCTTTATATACACCTGGTTTTTCCCTGAATTGTAATCCGAGAAAAGTTGTCGATGGGTTTTAACAGTCCTAACAGCACCAGCACTACCCAGGGATTCTGCTCTGGTAATAATGATACCATGATGGCCTTCAGCAGTGCTAACAGCAGTAGCCCCACCCAGGGATTCTCTACTGGTAATTCCGATTCTTTTCCTTTCTTCTTCTGGTATCTTCCCTTACTGTGTACAACTTTGATTAACAAATCCTATTCAAGAATCACATTGTCAAAGATTCTACACTTGTATTATCCATATTGATTTTATATGTGCATTTAAAATTTAATCCTAGGATAGGAAGAATTTCTCTTTTAGGATTGTTGATATTGACTTTGTCATCTGAGATTGACTCGGAAAAACCCTTTATATTGTTTGTTTGTTTGTTCTTTTTTTTTTTTTTTTGGTAGGAGGTTCGACCAGTACCACTTTGTTTGGCACTAGTTCTCCTTCCCCGGTCCCTTTGTTTGGTTCCCCTCCCGCCGTCCCTTTGTTTGGTTCTGTTCCCTCTTCCTCTGGTACCTTTTTTGGAACACTGCCATCCTTCTCTCCATCTCCTTTCACTTCCCCTTCGTTTGGTTCTGGTCCCTCTTCCTCTGGTTCCTTTTTCGCAGCAAAAAATGGAACACTGCCATCCTCCTCTCCATCTCCATTCACTTCCCCTTTGTTTGGTTCCTCTTCCTCTG